AATCCATGTGTTAATGGGAGGGACTATTCAGTGCAGGGAGCAGTTGTACATTGGCAGTATTTCTAATTTTTTCTATTCACTTCTAGAGGAGATAGTTCTGCTTTAGCTAAGTGTACTATGTTACTGGCTTTGGATTTTCAGCATGGGATTGTTTTATGATTTCAGCCTTACTCATCTCTCTGCTGCTATTTGTTTCACTACACCTAACCTTTCTCCTTGTCTCCTAAAACCAAGCCATGTGAGTGACTTGCAATTTTCCCCAACTCATACCACATGGCTTTTGCATATACAGTTACTTCCGTGTCATCTTCAAGGATAGGAGCAGCCTGCTCTTGCACTAGGAACACTGAGCCCTGGTAAAGTTGGTGACTTTACCGGGCTTCGGTTTTCCTCCTGTTCTATGATTTGTAGGTCTGTGTCTCTCTTCTGGTGGCTGTGAAGTCCTGGAGGGTAATGACAATGTCTTACCCTTCATCATCTCCTTGGAATGTAGCATAGCAGCCAGCACAGAGTAGGTGCTTGCTTGATCGACACTGTTTGATTAAATAGATGACTGAAGTATCCCTCCTTTAGTTGATATGTGAAAGTGTGTATGCCTAATTATGTGACTATATATATATATATGCATTTTCAAATATATAATTGTGTATATTGCAAGTGTGTGTGTTTGTGCGTGTGTGTCCCCAAATACTTGTGTGTAGTGTATGTGCATGTTTGCTCTGCTTTTTCTGTGGGTGACACAAACCGTTTGGTGGCATTTATGGAGATACTGCAATGTTGGGGATGAGAATGGAGAGCAGAAGTGGAAGATAATTGCCACTTCAGTGACCAAACTCTGGAATACGCAGTCCGAGCAGCCTTCAGGTAGAAAGTTGGCCAAGAGGGGCCCTGTTATCGAGGGCAGAATCTGTTGTACCCAACACCATGCTGCTTTTGGACTCCAGGTGTTGGGAGTTCAGGGGAGAATGAGCTCTGGCACCAAGGGAACAGGCTCCATGGACAGCAGCTCCCCTGCACCTGCTCTCCTAGCGTTTGACTATAGCATGTGGTATATGGTGAGTTTTCCCTTTTCTTTTTAAGCCTTTGAGGCTGGTTCCTGCCACACACATGGGCCTTTCCCTGTGTCATTAAGCCTCCGCCTTCCCTGTCCCAGTTTCCTGTCCTCTCATTTCCTGCATGTGTGGGCAATCAGAAACTCTCCTGGCACGCTCACTCGGGCTTTGTCTTCTGCTTGCTTTGTGGCATGCTGTCTGGGGTCCACCTTTACTGACTGGGGTGTTCCAGGATCATGGTGTCACCTGTGCTCAGTTGGAAGACCCCAACACGAATCCAGACATCAGAGGAAATGAGTGGTGATCCCCAAGGAGACAAGTCCATGACATCATCACCAGTGACAGTAAAGGAAGTGAAGGGAAACTGAGGTCAGAGTTGACAGCATGTAACCAGTGTTGGTTTATTCATTCATCATGCATTCAACAAATACTCAAAGTCTAATGTGGGGAATTAGACACAGTTCCTGCTCCCAAGGAGTCACAGTTAAATGAGGGAGGCTGATACATGGATTAACAGAAGCACAAAGAAGCTCAGGATGCTACGAAAAACACACAGAAGAGAAATCCAAAAGATGGAAAGATTGGAGAGAAGGCAATTCACACTGTAAGAGACATGGGGTTCAAGGCAGATAAACTTGATTTTAAATCTCCACTCTGCCACTTACTCACCAATTGACTGTTCACCTCCTCAGCTGCAATTGGACATAATTCACTTATGACACAACTTTTCTAGCACGGAGTCCAACTCTGGGCAAGCACTTTGTATGAAATATTTCAGATAATGATTAATGCTAAGGTTGGAAGCAACAAGTAGGAGTTGGTTGGTAAAGATAAGGAAGGAAGCACGGGGTTCTAGGTAAAGGACACAGCCATGCCCACGGCGCTGACACATCCCATGATCTCTCCTGTCCTGCATGGGGCTCAGAGGAGGCGCTTCTGTGTGGAGGCCTCAGAAGCCGAAATCAGAGAGACAAGTAGAGGCTGAATCGGGCAGTGTGCCTGCCTGCGAAGTCTGGAGTGTTTCAAAATCCATACTTAGAGGTTTGAAAAAGAAAAACATGATTTGATTTGCATTTTCTAAGTGCAAGTTGGCAAAATTTTGAGACAACTTGGCCAAAGTATGAAGAAGCTGATATATTCAGCCAGGCACGGTGGTGCATGCCTGAAATCTCATCACTCCGGAGGCTGAGGCAGAAGGACCACTACAAGTTCAAGGCCAGACTGAACCATATACCAAGACTCTATCCCAAAAACCATATATCAATAAATAAAAATGATAAAAATAAAGAATCTGATATAATTTGAGCTCACAATTTTACTTCCAGGAATTTATCATAAGATCATTAGAGGTGAACACAAAAATTATGTATAAGAATGTACACTGAGGCCTGTTCATAAGGAAATGGGAAATGAACTAAACACTAACTGGAAAATCATTAGATAAATTATGATGTATTCAATTGATGTCATATTGTAAAGTGAATGTATTCAACAATATCCAAAGGTGTAGGCAAGCTCTCATGATAAAATGTCAACCACGAAAGAATTAAAAGCTTAAATACAGTGATTCAGTTTAAAGAAAGGAAATAGAAACATGTATACACAGTCAAATTATTGAGAGTAATTAGACCTAACCCCCCAACTATAGCTAATTCTGCATAATCAGGTTATTAGTGATTTGTCTTCTTTTCAAATTTACCACATTTTCCATACACTTTTAATGAATACATAGCTTTTACAACTTAAAAATACTATAAAAATGATCACTCTAGCTAGCACTGTACAGAATAAACTGAAATGAGGTTTATGTAGGAGAGAAAGAAATGAGGCAATTAGATGACTCCCCAGGGAGAAGTGACAGGTTTCCCATCAAGGTGGTGTGAAAGGGTTTGAAGGACAGAGGAATGGAGTTGAAGTCCATTTTGGGTCTGTTGACTTGGGGTATTCCTGGGACACTAAGGTAGACAAGACCAGTGAATAGATGGATAGACAGGCTTGCAATTCACACATTCCATACACACCGAGCATGTAACCTACGTCAGACAATGTTTGGGTGTGGGGCATCCCACAATGCACAAATGCAGAAGAGCTTCCAATCTAGTGAGAGGCTGAAACCTCTCGCTCAGATTAGAACCTGTCCCGGAGATGGATATTTGGAGCCAACAACTTGGAGATAGAAGGCAGAAAAAGCCAGATAGCTGGGTCAGTGGGGCACAGAGAGAGAGAGGAGGGACTATCTGGGTCAGGTTCAGTCAAGCTCAGGGACTGAACTATTTTGACAAGTATCTGCTAACTCCTTGACTCTGATCACTATTTTCTGATTATTCTTTCCCACCCAACTGACCATTTTGGGAACTATGGGCCACGTCTCTAAAATGGGAATTATACCGCTTGGGCTTGCTCCAGTGCACCTCCCCTGCTGCGTTGGGACCCTGTACACACTGCTCCTTCCTTCTAGGATGTTCTTCCTTGTGGCCTTGCCCTCCTCTCTCTTCATTCAGGTCTCCACTTCACCATCATTCTGAAGGGAGGACTTCCTCAATGATCCTCTTGTGTAAACCATTGCGGGATATTATGTGACGCATTTTGATTTTTGTTTACAATTCCTGGCTCTAACTCTCTCCCCCAAGGCAGGCCTGGGAAAGTAGAATCCTCCTCCCTAAGGCAGGTCACAGAAACTCTAATCTTCCCCACCCTTCCGCCTTGGCGCATGTGAGGGTGGAGTTTGGGTGGGTGGGTTGGTGGGACAGGGCTTGACGAAGTTCCGGACTGATTGCATCTATTTCCTCAATAAAATAGGAGCACCATTAGCAGCTGTGAGTAAACAAGGGGGAACGGGGTGGTGGTGGTGGGGCTGAGCAGGGAGAAAATGTAAAATAGTCATTTGCAAGAGCAAGAGAGCTGGCACAGTGGTGCACACCGGTAGTCCCAACATTCTGGAAGGCTGAGGCAGGAGGGTCACAGTGATCTGGGGGAAATAGTAATTCCCAACCTGCTAGATGTCAGATACGCAGAGTTCGTGCTCCCCAAAATCGAAGAATGAATTCTAAGGAACAGCGGAGGTTAAGACTAGGAAAACTTTACTGAGAGAGATAGCTCCTGAGAGCCCCAGAAGTAAGTTGCCAACTAGCCTACTTCTCAAAACCAGTTTTATAGAGCAGAATGACGAGGTGGGTACAATGTGGGTCAAAACTATGATCAACCAATAAGATTATAAGGATAGTCGCTTAGGTAATACTGTTCCAATGGGGAGAAAGGTCAGGTAGCTAGTGTGCATGGAAAGATCCAGGAGCTTTTCAGGAAGAGATGAATGAGGAGGTCCTGGTCACCCACACAAGTAGCTGATGTCTATCTAGACCTTTTTGGAGCAGGTGATACCACTTATCCCCTGGGGTATGTAGGCCTGGTCATTCTATCTTTATCTTGAGGCCTGGCCTTCAACAGAAGATGCGCCTCCAGCCACATGTGTAATGTGTTTTCGTCCTCTGCCCTGACTCCCTCGAGGGTCTGCCCCAGATCTGCCTAGAATATTTCTACCCAACTTAGCTGTCTATAATAATAAGCTCGAGCCCAGCCTGAGCAGTTTAGCGAGTCCCTAAAAAATAAAAAGCACTGGGGATGTAGCTCAGTGGGAAGGGCCTGGGTTCAACCACCAGTACTTAAGGGAGAAAAACGCCCGGGCGAATGTACCGAGGAGGTGCTGTGGGAAGGTTAGGCAGCCTTTCTTGGGCCCTGAGAGTGGAGCTGCACACGGAGGCCCAGGAGAAGGTGGGCAGAGGAGCTGGGGCACCACGGGATGGGGTGGTCATCCTATGGAGGGGTCACTGTGTCCCGGACAGACAGCTGCCGCGACGCCCTGACTATGCATTCCTTTTTCTGTTTTATTTTGGGGTTTTTTTGAGACAGGATCTTATTAGGTAGCCCAGGCTGGCCTCGAACTCACCATAACCTTCCTGCCTCAGCCTCCTGAGTGCTGGGATTGCAGGTGTGGAGCACCACTCTGGCGACTTTCATTTTGTAGACTGTAGTTTCTCCCCTCTCTGCACCCCGCGGCCCCCAGCGTTTCGGGCGCTGCTCTTCCCTGAATAGCCATAGCCTCGTGTCTATCCGCGTAAGGAACCTCTTCTTACTGCTCCGAGGACCCCCGCGCGGGGTGTGTCCCCCTCAGCCCGGGGCCTCCGCCTGGACGCTGTTCTGTGGTTCGGTTCGCTTGGGTGATGTTAGATTGCGCTCTGGGCTTCCCCGCTGCAGGCCTCCTGGTTGCTCGGCCTTTCGAACGCAAAGGCAGGAGTCAGGGTGCGACCCTAGCCCAGGGTTTCGTTTGGCTCCGTCTCCGCTCTGCAGCGAGCAGAGCCAGCCAGGAAGAGTCCCGTCCTTCCCGGGGGAGGGCGGGGGGAGCGGCCTGGTTCTCTTGGGCGAGGCCCCGGGTGGCAGAGGCCAGACGCTTCCCTGGCCATCACCCAGCTCTACTTCCTTTGTGCCCAACCGCAGATGCGGTTCCGGTTCCGGTTCCGGTTCCGGAGAGAAAAGCAGCTTTCAGCCGGATCCAGGCCGCGGATGTCCCGCAGCGCCTCAGCCTGGCGGCCCTGTGGTCCGGATAGGACGGGCTCCAGGCTCAGAGGAGGCAACTGACACACAGACTTGCAGCCTTTTTTCCAGCGACACCCACATAGTAAGGGCTGAGTTCCCTGTGGCCCCTGACCTGCTCCAGTGTCCCCAGAGCGCCATGGCTATTAATTCTCCAAGCCACGTGCTCTGTCCTGTCCGGTGCCCGGTGTGTGGGTGCGGAGGTAGCAAAAGAACCCAACCAGAGGTCAAAATAGGAAGTGCTGTGTCAAGGTGAATGTTAAGAGCAGAGGAAAGAAAGCGGCGGGGGAGGGGGGGGGCGTGTTTATGTGTGCTTCAGATCAGTGTCCCCGGGGAAGTTAAATTTAACCTAGCTAGAGAGGGTGAGGCCGAGCGGAGCTCAGACTCACGGAGCAGCAGATGCACAGGTGCTGGACCCACAGAAAGTTAGAACCAGAGGCCTTCAGGGAGCGCCCAGCCCTTCTGTTTCCTGCAGAAGTGGAGACCCAGGGAGGGCAGTTAACCACTTGGAGTGAGGAGTCTGGGACTGGAACTCAGGCGCCCTGGCCTTTAATCTGTGCTGGGTCCTTCTTAATAACTTAATAGTCAGGAGTATAAGAGCTTCTCACTTTTTAAAGCACTTAAGAATGAGCCAACTACCCTGTAAACTTATCTCACTGGGTCCTTGTAACAGTTCCTTGAGGTAGACCATATTTACAAAGGAGACAGGCAACGAAACCACTGAGCTAAATCCCCGGCCCCGTATTTACAAAGGAGAAGATGGAGACACAGGGCCGTGACTTTCCTGAGATCGCACTGCAAGGGGACCTCGGAGCTCAGGCTCTTTCCTACTCTGCTGTTAGTGCTAGGTCAGTAAGGGAGAAGGGAGGGCCGACGGCAAAGCAAGGGAGGGATGGACCCCACTCAGCAGGGAAATTTGTATTGCCTCATTTGTTTTAGCAGCGCCGGGCATTGAACCCAGTGCCTCTTGCATGGTAGGCAGGAGCTCGCCCACTGAGCTACATGCCCATCCCCTGTGTTCCCTTATGGAGATGCGGAAAGCCAAGCCGGGATGTCTGGAGGCTCACCGAGGTCACTCAGAGTGTAGGAGTTATGGGGCTGGCATCGCACACCGTGCCTGGGTGCTCTGCCTAGCTTGGTCCCCACCCACCTTGGCTGGATATGCGGCCACAGCTCTCCTCTTGACCGTCTTTCCATCTTTCAGACAGCTGCCTGGGGAGCACTGACTTCCCTAGAGAACTAACTATAGCGTTGGTCAAATCTCCCTGCTTCCTCAGGAAGGAATCACCCGCCCCTATGCCTTGCTGTGGGAGTGGTGGGCCCAGGACCACCACCTGGGTCTCCCTGCTGCTGGACTGGTGATTTTCTGCCCCCTCCTCTTCAGTTTCTTCTGTGCAGTATGTCAGCGGGGAATCTGGATAGTGTTATCCCAAAAGACCAAAATGTGAGTTGCGTTTGACTCTGAGGCCCTTGAGAGAAGCGACTTGGTGAAGCAACTTTAGGTTTACAAGATAAGAGCCAAAGGGCAACTCTGGGGCAAGATAGCCGGCCTCAGAGGCACGGGGCCTGCTTGAACTTCGTTGGCACCTCTTAAATCTGGGTGAAGAGTGACGAGCAGACAGAATTATGAATCGGGGGTAGAAAAATGAGTCTCCCCAAATACTTCTGTATGCCAGTAACCCTCACTGACCGGGTCAGTGAGATGCATGAGGGAGCTCAAAATTAATGAAGTTCATCTGGCTTGTTTTCACCACCAACTGAGGTGTCTCTGAGGGCTTGGCTTCCAGGAGTATTTGCAGGAGGGGTTTCACTGGGGAAGGAAGCCCCAGATTGCAATGGAAGAGGTCTGGCCTCCAGTCACCTCTGCTGCATACTGGCTATGTGACTCTGCAGTGGTCACCTCACTAGGCATCCTCCATCGATCACAGATTCACTCTGCACTCAACATCTCTTGAACCCCTTCCATGGGCCTGCCATGGTACTGATGAACGAGAGGCTTCTCACTACGCAGTCCCTGCTGTGGAAGAACTCAGAGCCTAAGGGGCAGGTAGACAAGCCCCAAGATGGGGAGCAGCCACTACACTGCTCTGGAAAGGCACAATAGGGCCCGAGGAATGTATGTCCACTGGACCGCAGTTAGTCCTCATGGTGCTATGGTGAGCATTTTAAAAAGATGCTCCTTTTTCTGGGCAACTGCAGCCCAGGATGCTCAGTTTGTTAAAATGGACAGTGTTTTCATGCCCTAGATTTCTCTCCCAGGGATGCTCACTCTTGTCTGGTCAACAGGCTACAACCCTGAATGTAAGCAGAGAGACAGAAAGGGCCAGCAGAGAGCCAAAGTGGAAGAGTCCAAGTGCAAAGGGTGCAGGTTGGGTAGGAGCTGCCCACACGTGGTTCAGTAGTCTAGAAGGCAGAGCGAGTAGCATATTAAGGACTTGAGAGGAGCTCTTGCTGTGGTTGAGTATCCCGAGTACCCCTCATGGTCATGGTTGGAAACCTAATCCTCAGATTCTTGTCAATGGCATTTGGATGGGGAGTGAGAGGTAATTAGGATGAGATGGGTCCTGAGGCTGAGGGCCCATGCTGGTCTTAGTGGCTTTCTAGGAAGAGGGGAGAGACCTGACACAGCACGCTGGCTGTCTTGCCCAGTGATGCCCTTCCTCCATCATGTTAAGGTGCCTGATGCCAAGCAGCTGGAGCACCATGCTCTTAGGCTTCCCGGCCTCCAGAGTTGTGAGCAGAGTGGACTTTTATTCTTCAGAAAATACAAGCAACAGAAATAGGCTAAGGTGAGGTTAGGTAAATTGGTAGAGGCCACTTACCACTCACTCATTAAACAAGGATTTATCGAGCATCATTCAAAGTTGAGCGCTACAAGCAGCTGGGAAATAGAAATGAGCACAGTTGACAAAGTCCCCTGCCCTTGAGGGTGTTATTCAGTGAGATCCCACTGAGCCTCCTCCCGTGCATGCTAATCTATCACAAGGGTGTCTGGGTTTCAGTCCCACCATCTAACATACCATAGTACAATCCCCAGAAGAGATAATGCTTACGGAAGCCCTTTGAGACCCGAGCGTGTCTGTGTCATTTTGATTAGTAATCCTCTTAATCTAAATCTGGGAGATCAGCACTAGTGCCCAGGAATTTGGGGGCGCTGTTCCTGTCCCCTGGCAACTCCCTGACCTTTCTTTTTAGGGAGGAGAGCAGGCAGTCCTGATGCTTCCGGTGCTGGTGCGGTCAGCTGCAAAGTCTGGATGGCCTGTGGCCTCCTGGGGCGTTTAGCAGCTCACTCACAGGCTCTGTACCTATTGGCATCAAAAACTCTTTCTTCTCTGGATGAGATCTGGAGAGATACCAGAGTCATCCGATAGTCACGGACAAAAGCTCTGCTTGTGGGTAGACACTGCTGAGGGCTGCAGGAGGCCTTCTCAGGGGCCGGCAGGCTGGAAGCTGGGTCCGACCTGCTCAGTGGCCTGATTTAGTGGCAGAGGACGTTTCCGAGGCTTGGGGAACTTGCCTCCTGGGCTCTGTGTGAATTTGGATGCCAGAGCCTTCCTCTGTTAACCAGGAGGGAGACTGTTCAGACTTGAACAGCAGACCCTTTGAACTCCTTCTGAAAGCTTAGCCTATAGACCAGATAAAAGTGAGTGCTGTGGTCAAGGCCAGGGCGGGTGACCTGGGCTTCTGCTTATTCACACTCCACCTCGTCCTGTCTCATCCTCTCTGCACTTCTGCCATTACTAGAAAAAGCCCTTGTAGGTATGGAGGAATTTGGTTTGAAATGATCGAATTTGATTTTTTTCTTTAATTCGGCTCTTCTGGCCCCAAGGCTCAGGGTAGGCAGAAAGCAATTTAAATGTTCTATGATAATTTCAGTTTTGCATTTACATTGAAATGACTTTCCAACTGCCTTCCCATTCAGTGTTAATTATTTAGGTGCCCCACCCACCATGTCCATGATGAGATTTTAGTGGCCCCATTGGACCTGTATTCAGGACTGCGGTATCCTGACAACATCCAGAGTGTTAGCACTGAATTTTCCATGCAGTGTGTTTTCCAAATTGGAAAGTCTGGATTTTTTTCCCCCTTAAAACAGATGTATTTGTTAGAAGACAGTAGCATAAACAAGATAAGAAATTATCTCTCAAATACAAAATCCAGGCAGATGGTCCAGGGCTTGACTGCCAGCTACATGTATATCAAGATCTCTGCTCTTTCTGTCATGTTGCTATGTAGTCCTCAATGCTTGACATCTGTTTTGTGGTCTGTATTAATCAGGTTTTCTGTTTCTGGGACCAGATACCTGCCACTGACAACATAAAGGAGGAAAGGTTTTCTAGGCTCACAGTTTCAGAGGATTCAGTCCCTTCAGTTGGTGCCAAGGTAGAAACATCATGGCGGACAGGTGCAGCAGAGCAAAGCAACCCAATTCTTGGCAGCAGGGAAGCAGAGCAGAGGAACATTGCAGAGAGGAAAGGGGACAAGGACTAAGTCATGCCTTCGTGACCCACCCCCGAAGTGCGCTTTACTCATCTGTTTGGCATTTCTTAATCTAATCAAGTTGACATATCACCATGAATGGTCACATGATCCCACATGGCAGCTCCAGCTCCTGCCATCAAGCTTGTGTTTCATCCAGCAGGAAGGCGGGAGGGAGTTTATCATTTCCTTTTAGTGACAAGTTTTACGCATCATTTGTTTTTCACATCCACAATTTAGTCATCTGGCCATACCTAGTTTCAAGGGACACCAAAACTAAAAATCTCTTTAGTTGGAAAGTCCTGTGACCAACTACAGATTCTCATTTGAAGAGGAAAAGGAGGCAAGTGGGAATACCAACATGAAGGGGCAGCCATTTCGCAAGTCTGAAAAATGCTTTTTCCTACAGCGCTTTCCAGGTATGAAATTCCATGATACAAGCAGAATCCAAGGACCTCGACCTGGGTGGAAGCTCACAAGTTTAGCTAATTTGTCTCCTCACCATATGATGAAGATATTGTGATCCCATTTTGCAGATATGACAGCTGGGGTCCCAGAGAGGATACGCAGTGTTGTGTATGTACCTGGGCTGAGAGCTTGGGCTGTAGAAGGGCTCTCCTTTCTGCCCTTTGTATTTGAATTCCCACGATGTCCCAGTTGCTGCTCTTCAGGCTGTATTTTACCCTTTTGCCATCCTTTGGGAGGGATAAAGCAGTATCTTCTCTGGTGATCAGAGGGCATGAACTTTGTAGGCAGACAGGGCTGGCCTTAATCCTGTTTCTGCTTCTTGTTGCTGTATGGCCTTCTGCAAGACGCTTCATCACCTGGGTAATTATCCCAGGTTTTAAAAGAAGACACTGTCCACCTCCCAGGTGTCACCTTTTATTCCCCCCCTTCCCTCCCTGCCCGTCTCCCCTCCATTTCTTTGCCTTCCGCTTTTGTCTCCCTTCCCCCCTCTCCCCTTCCCCTCCTTTTCCCTACCTCTTTCATTCCTGCGGTGTCAGCAAGGACCTAGGATGCAAATTAGGACACGCACCTGTGAGCCAGAGGTAGTTTCTTTCCCTGCTTGCTTTTTCTTTCCTTCTTTCCCTTCTTTTTCTTTCTTTTCAGACTTTTGTATTAGTATAGTAAATGCATTCATCGTGGGGGAACTGGTACTTACACGTATCACATCTTGATCTTTTTCACTTCCCCTTCCCTTCTTCTCCTGTATATTACTTTTTTAGCCTCAATTTCATTAATTTCAGCTGTGATCTTTATAGTTTCTTTCCTTCTGTTAGTTTCATATTGGATTGTTCTTGTCTTTCCGGGACCTTGAGATGCATCTTTAGGTTATTTACTTGGGATCACTGCAATATGACATTGTATTTTTTCTCCCCGCCAAGTTTAATAATTATAAGACCTAGAAAACAGTAAATTTATTAGTTGGTATGCACTAGTGTCTCCCTCTCTCTCTCTGCCTCTCTCTCTGTCTCTCTGTCTCTCTCTCTCTGTCTCTCTGTCTCTCTCTCTCTCTCTCTCTCTCTCTCTCTCTCTCTCTCTTTCTCTTGATGGAACCCAGGGTCTCAGATGCTAGGCAAGCACTCCACCTCTGAGCTACATCCCCAGCCCTTGCATTAGATTCTCTTCAGAAAATTTGATGCCCGAAAATAGTTTGCCCTGACCGGTGGACTTCTACTTCTTTTTCACAGTGCTGCTTAATTTTCAGTCAGACAAGAACTGCAGTCCTTCTTGGGTTCCCCAGCTGTCTCATCACTGGTCCCTAACACAGCTTTCCCTTCTTCCTCTAGGTGACTGCTGAGCTCTCGAAGGCATTTGTATGAACTCACGCTGACCATGGGTGTTTTCCCTGTGCCTTCAGCTCCGGAGCTGTGTGGACAGGGCATGTACTGCTGTGGCTCAAGCAGTGTGACCCAGAGGACGTGCCGGGTAATCTGCAGATAAACATCTGTTACATCAGAGAAGTTTGCGAGGGAGGATGGAGCTAGAGAAATCACTACTTCTGCCTTCCTATTTTACAGAGGGAAGACTGAGGCCCAGTTGAAGATCAACTTCTGGGTTTTTTGTTTGTTTGTTTTGGGTTTTTCTGAGAGGACAGGGTCTTGCTGTGTAGTTCAAACTGGCCTTGAACTCACTGTGCAGCCCAGGCTGGCCTCAAACTCACAGCAATCCTCCTGCCTCAGCCTCCCGAGTGTAGTGTTGGACATCTTTGAGCAAGGATCCTTTATGTTTGTCGCAGTACCTATTAAGAACACAGGGTCCGGGGCCGGGGTTTTAGCTCAGTGATTCCACCGCCTGCCCTGCAAGCACAAGGACCCAAGTTTGATTCGTGGTACCAAAAAAAAAAAAAAAGAACACAGGGTCCAGGAAGAAGGGAGAAAGGAGGAAGGTGGTGAGAAAGGAGTATTCACTAAGCATCGGCAGCACCAGCATTCAGTCAGGCTCTCCCTTCACCATGGCAACATGTGGAGCAGGCGGTTTCTCGTTCAGGAAGGATGGACCTGAGGTCAGATGGGAGATCACGTGTCCAGAGGCACACAGCGTGGGTAAAGCAGAGTCCGAAACAAAGCGAGGCGAGGAAGCTGAGGCTATGTTCCTCTTGCACCACAGTGAGTCTCGGGTGTGCCAAGGAGAAGCACGGGGCAGAAAGCTGGACCAGTCCACCACGGCGTTGCTTCCAACACCAGTAACGATGCTGTGTGACCCCAAGAAAGTCCCTCAGTGTCTCCAAGCCTCAGGTTCCCCTTTGATCCTGAAGGGTGGATGCTGAGTGCTAAGGTCCCCTCCGCTTGGCAGGGCTGGGCTGCAGCTGACTCTCCCTGCGTTCCTTGGCCACCGAGTGAGCCACTTAAAGATGACTGATGCTGCCAGGAGGATCGGTGTCTCTTTAATGAGATCTGTCAAGGTCAGGCCCAGCAAGCTTATTGGGGGTTTTCTGATGGAGCCTCTCTTAATTGCTTGGGGTGAAGAGTTCAGAGTTAAGTTGCAGGGTTAGCCTTTCCGTCTCAGGGCGCTGGGCCTTAAACAGCTGACTGAGGGGCCTTCACTCAGCCCAGTGGCCCTCGCCTCCCTGGGGTAGAAGAGGGGGCTGCTGAGCAATGGAGAAATATGCTGTGTTGGTCACCGAGAAGCAATGTCAAATTTCTGGGGCTTTCCTATGTTTTGGTCTATGTACTGCCAGGAAGACTTCCACAAACAGCGTTGCTTTCGTGTGTGCTTGTGTGAGTGTGTCTTTTTCTAAAGATATTTTATTATTCTATACTTGAAAACATTTAGGACAGTAAGACATTTTGAACTACTGTGCTCTGCAGAGTCTAGCTAGCAGTTGCTTTTCTTCTGATGTGTGTATTTTCTTTCTCTAATTTAATTAAGATTTATTAATAATAGCAACAGTGACAATCTGAAGAACTCACCTGTCAATGGATACCCCACCCTCTTCTTTCAGACACTAGGAGGTATTACATTCCTTCTACCAACAAATCACTGAGTCTCCGGTCACTTCTAGGCATTGTCCTGAACACCAGGGAGTTATCAGAACCAAGGTGAAGTGTCCTTCTTCAAGGGGCACACAGACAGCAAGCAAATGTTGATATATTTTCAGGTTATCTGATTCCAGCTTCAAAACATCCTTAGCCCAGCAGGTATTATAAGGTCATTTTTACATGTGCAGAAATACAGAAGTCCAGATAATGAAGTCCAAAGCATGATAAGCAATCTGACTGAAACTCAGACCATAGACATTGAGACTTTTTCCTGTATTACATCTTCACTGTGCCTGTAACCATGGAAGGTTCAGTTTCATCACTATCCAATGAAGCCAGTAACCAGAGCGACAGAGTGATGGGAGAAGAAAGCTTTATCGGCATTCAGCTGGCAGGTGGGAGATGGAGGAGGCTCCCACCCAGGGCCCAGCTCGCCAGGAGTCACAGGTGCAAACACTTCCATGGGGTTTCTGGGAAATCTAATTTTAGCCCCAGCCAGGTGGGCACTGGAATGATCATTAATTCTTTCCTAGTCCACTCTCTTGTGATTTCTGCGCTGTCCTCAAGGCGCTAGGCTTTCCTGCAAGCATAAGGAAAGATTGCTGACTAGGAGGTCACAAGACTAGTGTTGCTCTTTGATGTTTTCCCTTATTCTTCTTTGCAAGAATTACAGGTTAATTATTCCCCGAGTGAGACCTTGGGAGTGAAACAAAACAATAATGAGAAGCTGCCTCCCCAGCATTGTGAGTTAACCCATTCTTTGGCTTCAAGCCCAGAAGCAGGTAAATTAGGAAGCTTGGAAACACTCCATGGGCCCTTGCTTCTTAATTTCCCTCACACTCGCTTCCATCCATTTCCAATCGAGGCCCCGCTGCATTTTGTAAACCTGGGGTTTCATGAGATCTAGACCAGCCCTCACCAAACTTTGGGTTCAGAGACTTTCTCAGTTTCTCCGGAAACCAGCGGAAGAGATGAACATGAAAACAGTCCTCAGACATAGTTAGGAGGTGTAATGGAGCTGTGACACCTTCAGTATTGTGCCTATCTCCACTCTAATTCACAAGTTGAAGTCTTAGCCCACAGTGCAACTGGATTTAGAGATAGAGGTTTTAGGGAGGTAAAGTTAAGTGAGGTTTTATGGATAGGCCCTAATCTGATAGGACAGGACTGGTATCCTTAAAAGAAAAGGAAGAGGCACTGGAGACACAGTCCCAGAGAAGAAAGAACATGTAAGGACACAGGGAGAAGTCAACGGTCTGCAAGCCAGGAAGAGAGCTCTCCCCAGAAACCAAATCTACTAGCACCATGGTCATAGATGTCTAGTCTTCCGGACCATGAGAAATAAATTTCTATTTTCTAAGTCATCCCCAGACTGCAGTAGCTTGTTATGGCAGCCCACATAGGCCAATAATAAAAGCATAGACAGGGCAAATGAATTTGAGGATGGAGGAGAAAGTAGCCCCAGCAAATGGGACTCAAGAGTACAGTATATGTATGGAACCATACATAATAATAGTCCATTCTTGGTAACATGACAGCAGAAGGGGAATGGTGGGCAAATGAGCCGTGACAAGTAGGTGGAGGATAGTCACAAGGGGTGTGGTAAACCAGGTTGAAGAATTGGGTTTTTATCTGATAGATGTGGGGTGCCTATCAGGAGAGGGTCCAAGTCAGAACAAAGAAGAATGGGGGAGGAGGAGAGCGGTCAGATGACTAATGCAGTAGCCCAGGTGAGAAAGGTGTGGCTCTCAACTAGGCCAGTAGGGCAGGAGACAGGGAGAGAGAGAGGGGTGAGGGGAGAGACGCTGTTTTAGGGCAGAGGAAATTGAGTCACATGGGGCTGTATGCTGCTTGGAATATTTTGATTATATGTAAAATGACTTGACTATAGCCATGGATTTAATCTACTTAGGAGGAAAAGTGTTTGGAATTCTAGTATTTCAAAGAAGTAGCAGTAGAGGTTTGCTAAGGTCCCAGATCTGCAGCCTGGTCTGTAGTTTGGTCTGTTTGGAAGCCAGCAGGATGCAAACAGGATGGCCGGAGGCATGGGGCAGGATCTGCCTCAGGCTTCGGTAGCAACATCACATTTCTTAGCAGAATGCTGGCTTTGCCTCCTACTTTTTTTTTTTTTTTTTTTTAGCTGAAACTGGAACAGGGAGATTACAATGCCTTACTTAGTGGTGGTCAAACTTGGTAACTATTTTGCTTGGAGCAAAAAGCACTTTGCCCAGTCCAACCCAACCTTGATGTATCTTTGGGTGAATCATACTCTCTCTGCCCTATAATTTCTCAAAAGTGAACCACTTGAGTTAAATAGTCTTTTTTTGTGCTAATATTCTGTGCATCAATATTTAACAACTTGTGTAAAAATATATAGAAATCGAGAGTTGGGGGAAGATGAAGGTCTTATGTCCAAGGATAATGTCTAAGTCGGTCTTGAAGTGACAAGCTTTAAATCCAAATCATTTTGCCTGAGCCTGGACTCATGGATTCATGAGTGACTCTATAGGGAAGAGAATATTCACAAAACATCCAGTCCAGCTTCTTTATTCTACGTGTGAAGAGACTGAGAAATGTGAAGGGAGTAATCTGGTCTCATACAGTGTGTTAGTAGGAGAGTCAGAAACCAAACCCAGGGCTCCTGACCTAATCAGGAACCAAACCCAGGGCCACAAGAGGCACTCGGCAAAACACCACAGGCACCTTGTGGGTGATGCCCCTGGAGTTGTTCAAGGTGGGGCCCTGCTGCTGGCTCTCACCTTAGCAGCCCTCTCACGATATGTGTCTAACTGTAGGACAGTTGTCACCTCTCTGATAGCCTACTCTTGCCTATTTGAGTGCTTCTATGGCTAGGTATACTCAGTGCATCACAAAGGGGTGTGTTTCTTGCTTTTCTCTTCACGGGCGACCCAGTACAAATGAGAGCCATGTCGTACTGGTGTCTCTACCTCTAACATGTAGCACAGGTGGCTCATTTAATGGACACAGAGTGAATGAATATAATGGATGCACAACAGAGCGAATATAAACTGAGAAAGGTCCTGGAGAATAGAGAAAGAGAAGAGGCTTAGGAACCTGCATTCCAAGAGGTGTAAATAAGACTAGGGTTCCCTCTCAGCTGGTGATTTCTTGGATTTATAGGTCATCACCCTCATTATGGACAGCTCCTCTAAGCCCTCAGCAGGAAATGCCTCCGTATCAGGCTCGATGGCCCATATTGAAGACATAATCCCTCGGCCCATGACTCACCAATGGATTCCAGAAGGCACAGTGTGGGTGGCCTTCCTCTATCAATCAATGGTGGGACATCCTGGCTTGTGATTGGAGCTCCAACTTGCCACCCAAGCTTATAGGTTTCTCGAATGAGGCCTGTATGGAGACCTCTGGCCATGAGGCTGGCTCAGTTTCTAACCACCCACCAGGAGACTCAGGAAGCCTCCATAAAAACTGGCTTTTATGACCACTGACACCCTTGAGTGTGGTCATTATGATTATTTAGCATCTGTGAGACACTCTTCATGCAGTGGGGGCCAGGGAAAGGCAGTTTGGCAGCTTCGACACAAATGGATGTTTCTGTCAATCCCCAAAATGTTCTTCCTCCCACTGAGATGAATTCTGCACAACTGCATTCAGGAGCTCATATAGGCCAGGGTGGAGGTAACTTTATGTGTCCTGTATGGACCCAGGTATTTCTAAGGGAGCTTCTTTAATCAAAACCCAACAGAGGGGAACCTTCAGTGAACCAGGTTTGGACTTAGGCACTGGCATTGATTTGTTCTCTGAGTGACGTTGATGTACAAAGTCCTTCATTCATTCGCTGTCACTCAGTTCCATATGTAGACTTCTTCTTTATGTCAGACCCTGTGTCTGGACTTGACCTATGTGATAAATAAGACAACCAGACAACTCAAATATGTGGAGAAGATAGGCATGCAAGCAAAATATTAATATTACAGATGACGTGTAAGAGCCGAGCTCACAGTAGAGTGGGGGCCTTGAGAAAGGAGCAGCCAACTCCACTGAGCAGGGCCATGCCGGGAGGGCTTTGCAGGAGAACAAGTTCCAGGTGGCCCTTGATGAATGATGACAGTTTTGGCATATGTGAGTGAAGACCTTCCAGGCAGGGGAATGCCTGCTGCCTTTGGAACAGCAGTCACGCTTCTTGGGGTGCACTTCCTTGTGGACACACTTGGAGCAGCTCCCCGCTCTCTGATCCCCATCCCTCCCGCCACTTCCATGAGATTCCCTACTGCCCACCCTTCAATGCCAGTGTTCCCCAGCATCCCTCCATGGCTTTCTCACCCTATACCCCTCTCAGAGGAACTTTCTTACTGTGGTGATCCCCCAAATGATATCCCACCCTGATGAGCTTCTTCCTGAACTCCACTCTGCACCTGGCCCCGATGCTCATGGATGCCCTTACCTGATGGAGATGACTGTCTGCTCCGGAAACCTTTGTTCATTCCACATTTAGCATCCACATCCAGCCACTTACTGTATCCTCAAGCTGCAAGTTACCCTAGGTTCCTCACTTGCCTGGGTAAGTCACAGCAAGCCCATCATTCATCCATATGTTAGACTGCTTTTTTTTTTTTTTTCCAGTTCTTTCATTGCCAGGACTCCGGCCCGCAGTAGGTGAAGGAGAGATAAAGGAAATAGGGTCCTGGCCACTGTGGAGCCGATAGTCACATTAGAAGAAGGATACAGGAACCGGTGGGTCTCACCGTGGGTGCAGAGCTCAGCAACAGAGGGGTGTAGAGGACAGTGGCGGCCCATATGCCAGTTGGGTCCCTGGGGCGAGGCTAAGCTTCCTCAGGAAGGCGGTGCCTGTGCTGAGCCTCACAGACTGAGCCGGAGCTGTGTAGAGGAGATGAGGAGGGAAGGAGACCTTCTAAGGACAGGGAATTACATGAGGAAATGGACAGGGCCACAAATGATGGTACCATTGGCTTTTAACATCTGTTTCCCTGAAAAACAAAACCTGGCTGGAAAATAGCCTTGAAAACTAGAGATCACAAATCTCCAGGAAGTGGGGGAAACATTTCTCAAGTGGGGCTGGCTGCCTTTGTCCCTATTTTCATAGGGGATGACATGGACATAGGGTGAAGATAATGGCTCTTTTTTAACAGAATGACTGAGAACCTGAGGTGGCAGGAGGCTTAGGAGCATGAGGAAGCACCTTCAGTGTTGAGACATAATATCCCCAAATGCTTTGGAAGCTAGAAAGATTTTCTTTTTCCCCACACAGGGGCTGGGGCTGTAGCTCCTGGGTTTGACCTTGACCTCTCTGGGTTGAATCCACAGAGGCCCAGCACAGAGTAGTGCACTGTTGAGCAATGCGGACTGCTGGGAGTGCAGCAGCAGCAGACAACAGAGCCTGGCTTCTCCTCATGGGGGCCTTGGTTACCTTGCTGACCCACTGACTGCCAGCCACAGTGGGACCTCTGCTCTCCGCCACCTCCCGCTAGGAATGCCGGGATGTTTGAAACATCCACACCAGAAGGCGAGCAGGGGACTTGAACTCTGCCCACCCCCAGCTTCATTCCCCTCAGCCTCCACGTGTTTCTCATTACAGGGCTGATGGAAGGGTCTGCTGTGGTTGGCTGATTTGTCATCATGTCCTCCTCCAACTCAGGCCTCCAGAAAGGCTGTATTCTTATAGGGAAAGGGGGTTTGAAGAAGAAAGCACAGTTCTTTTTTTTGCAGGGGAGAGATGGATTTTAGAACAAGTCTACATATTGATTTTCTTTCTTTTTCTTTTTGTGTGTTTATTTGCTTTAAAGGGCAGGGGTTTTCTGTTGCCTACGGGCAGAGCAACATCTCAGGCAGTTCTTTGGAGCAGGTGAAATGGAGCTGGCCTGGAAATGAGGGTGATGACTATGGAGTCGCCAGCCCTGAGCACCACCTCCTTGTCTGTAGGAGATTGGTAGCTGCTGTGTTTTAATTTTTACTCTTTATGGATGCACATCTATCTCTGTGGCCTTTCGCCTTTGCTCTGAGTAGATTCTGCTCACAGCACGCAGAGCTGACCCATCAGCAGTTTGCATGGCACCATCCTGTTACCTCGGGCCATATGGACTGCTGGCTCAGGTCCTTGAGGCCCAGGTCTTGTAGGAGGTCGGTGAACATGGTCATTTTTCTCGTTTATACTCCAACAATAGGCTGCCGCCTGCCCTCTGATAAACAGCCTATCATCGTTCATGACTGAAATCAGGGCCAGGTTGGTGGAAGTTCCGGAATGTTCTGGAACATTTCCTTTAGGGTCATAACCATAATTTCTGACTTATCAAACCTTGTGATATAGAATGAGCAAGGTAACAGAATATAAATAGCAAAGGAAACCAAGATGAATGTGGAAATGTGCCAGAGATATCAGGAGAGGAAACGGTGAAGGAGCCAAAGAGACTCTTTAGAGAATGAGCTGGAAGTGAGGGGGAGATAACCTAACAGTGGATGAAAAGGGACTCTGGTATTGACTGCCTGAAGTGAACCCAGCCTCTGTCACCTATTAGCTGTGGGAGCTGAGGTGAGTCACCGTCCCACTGTGAATCTCAGGTTTCCCAGCTCAAAGGTGGATAATATGACCCAGGTCACTGTGAGCATGAGGGACAATGCACGAGAGCTTAACACAGCCTAGCATCTAAAAGAGCCCCATGGTAGCCATAGAAACTGCATGTTTACAGTGCACCAGGCATTATATTAAGTAATTTAACTTACTAGGCTAGTTTGATCTTAAAAGTCACTGTACAGTTGAGGAAACAGGTTTGGGGGGTTTAAGTAAATGCCCAAAGTTATGTAGCTGCGAAATGTGAGAGCTGAGATTCAAACTTAAGTGATAGTCTGTCCTAGAAGCTAATAGCTTCATAATTGACGGTAACAGTCCTTTATCTAGAATTTGGGAGTGAGAATTTGGGGGTGAGAATTGGGGGCCATTTTCAACCAAGAATATTAGAAGAACAATAAATGACAGAAGTCATTTAAAAATTCCCAAGAGCCAGGTGACAAAACATTTGCACTAAGGTTATTTATTTAACCTTCATGTTTGGCCTGGAAAAGCTATATTATCATCTGTATCTTAGAAACAAGGAAAGAAAAGGCTCAGAGGTATTGCACAGTTAAAATGAAATGGAAGTCCATCTGGGCCTTGAAGTCAGGCTCTCCCCGTCACCCTGCCACCTCCAGGAAATCCATTCAGGGCCTCATAGTAGGGGCTGCGTGACATCTCCTGGGGTGGCCCGGGGAGGCTTATCCTGACTTGCGTCAGAGCTGACAGGGAAGGACGAGAACCATGAATAAGTTCCCAAGACACTGGGTCTGAAATCAGACTCCCAAGGGTAGTGAAGAGGGCAATTGGAAAGTTACTGCTTGTGGTCGGAGGAAAGTTCGGAAGGAACATCAGAGGGCAGGAAGATGGATAGGAGGGTCTGTATTTAACACTGGCCCAAGGTGAGGAAGGAAGCGATCAGCTTAATTTTAGAAAGGCTCAGACTCTAAGGCTCCTAAGGTATGAGGCATGGGAACTTGGGTGAGGACGATGTGCCATTTGTCATCCACTGGTCTCCAGAGGAGTGGCTGGGGCTGAGCTTGAGATGAACTCCCAGCTGCATAGAGAAAGGGGGCACTTTGCACAGCTAGTCCAGAGTTAGGTGGAATCGATCAAGTGACTTATTTTCTCACACTGAGCCCAGTGGGATAATAATACATTAATACATGCATGTATTAATTTTCATTAAGAATCACATGAGACAACAGTGCAAGAATCTAGGGAACTGCTTGGCCCACAAATTCATATAGTTAATATTCTCTGAAGGAATCTTCATGGGGAGATGAAATGTTTCTGAAAGGGTGTCTTCAGGGGATCATGATAAAAGTATTTTCATCTCGCTCTGATTTCTTTTTTTTTTTCCCGCTCTGATTTCTTTAGGTTCAAAAGGCGTTTCTCCTATCTGCTGTGTTTGGGCTTTACTGAATCTCTACTGCACTCTGAAGATTTGAAGGCTTATTGATAACTGTGTGATTTCCACAATTCTGTACTCAAATGTTGGCATCAAGTATTGTAGGTAATTACATGGTACACTCTGAAGTTTATAGGATTTTAACACCATTGTCCCCTTTTCCTTCAGAATTAAAATCTGATTCTAAACATAAGTTTGTTGAGAATAATTTTACTAATTCACTGTAATACGAAGTACGAACTGAAAGAATACCCTCAGAATTGACTTCCTAGACATAACCATTTTTATGTGTTCGTGCTTCTAGACTTTATTCATCTAAACATTTATGCTACATTCTTTAGGGAGAATTAAAAATATATTGTGAGATATTTCAAGGCAAAAGGAATAGCATCAGAATTATGTAAATACCCATTGTCCTGTTTAGGAGCAACATTTCCAAGGCTCTGCGGTGTATCTCCTTCCCATGTGATGTCCTAGCTCCTCCCCTGGAGGCTAGTGTTCCTTTTACTCTCTCAACACCCCTGTGGCAATTGAGATTCTTCCACCAGCAAGTGACAGTCTCGGAGCTGCTCCCCACAGAATGTATTTGTTTGTACAGTTTCCACACCCTGGGGTAGGACTGGATGAGGAGGGAGCTCAAACACGTCACTTCCCTCTCTCAGGACCCTTCTCTCCACTCTGTCTTTGTTCCCAGTTTCCACCCAGGAGCAAGATGGCAGCCAGCAGCTGCAGGCCTGCATTCTCTGTTCATATCCAGTAGAAAAAAAAATAGTACCTCTACCCAGTAGCTCCCACAGAAGACCTGGGATTTACTTTGATTAGATTAACCACAGTGTCATGTTGATCCTGAATGTACTTACTCCCAGTACTGACTCCCACTTTGAATTTGTCATCTGGAATCAATCAAAACCCTCTGACGCTCATCTGTGTATGTTTTCTGACTGTATCAGGATACCAGACCCAGGAGTTAACTACCTTTTTGGTACTGTAGTCGGTGGCAGGGGGCAGTACAAAGATAATGTCCCTAACGTGTACTGAGTGCTAGGATGTACTGCTGCCTTACCTCATTCACGCTTCCTCCTAGGGTGCTCATTTTATACATGGAAAAGACAGAAACTGATAGAAGACAAACAGCTCTGAGCTCACACAGCTCGTGTATGTTAGAGCAGGATGCAGCTCTAGGTTTACTTCACTGTAATAAAGTAAACAGCATTATCTAGTCCGCAGCAAAACAGCCAGGCCATTTTATCTCTTTTGCAATCAGTTTGTTGCAAAGCATAGCAGGAAACCCTCTGCCAACTGAAGCACTTCATAAACACAGGTTCACTGAACTCATCGATCTGGCCTGAATGCACCTCTGTCAACCCCTCAAGGGGAGAGGGAAGGGACAGGCTTGGGACTTGGCCCAGTCGCTCCGAAGTAAACAGATTAAGTAAGGGAAGAAGGGGACAGTTCATTCCCTGAACTATTATTTTCCTCCTTATCCCTACAAATGTGTTTTGGAAAGGACCTCGAAAATTGTTCAGGATTTAAGAATAATACAAATCACTTTTTAAAAATATTGACTCAGGGTAAAAAGTGCTTGTAGGCCCTGAAAAGGATACTGGAAAGAACCTGAATTGGGGGTGGGCAGGTTGGGTTTCCAGTCTGGCCCTGGTCATTGCTGGAACTTAACCCTGTGACTTGGAGCATGGCTCCATCTCTTTGTAGGCCTCAGTTTCCTCTTTGACTCAGCAACAGATTGGAGTAAAGCCATTTCCCCTCCCAAAGTTTTTCATCTATAGAAAAAATTGTAGTGGATCTGGTTCAGTGATGACGGTAACCTCAGACAAACCAGTTGTCAGCCATGTGTGTCTCAGGCAGCAAACAAAATACCTTTGCCTAGCTTCACAGCAACCTTCTTGTGGGCTGAAGAGGAGCTGAGGAATGAGACCCTAGGGGTTTTCTTGCCTCTGCAAAGGCTGGCTTTGGTTTTTCCCCAGCCAAAAGCTTCCTGTCTGCTGTACGGAGTCGCTTGCAGTGCGAGGCCAAGCTCCAGCTTGGATGTGAGGAAAACAGGGCATTAGCAAGACACTTTCATGTCCTGCAGTCTGGCTTCCTGGTGGGGTGGGAGTGGGGCTCACTCCCACCTGGTGGAGCCTTAGCAACCAGTGGCAGGCAGAATATGGATTTGGGGAGGCAGCCTGCAGACATGCAGCTTAAGAGGTAGGATGAGCCCCGGGTTAAGGGTTGAGGGGTGTGTGTGTGTGTGTGTGTGTGTGTGTGTGTGTGTGGGTAGCCTAGGTTGTGTCACTGACCCAGGTAGTCCCTCCTCCCTGGACCCGATCTTCTTGGTTTTCAAAGGGAGGGCAGTACCGGATGTGCTTGGGATTGTCCATCCCAGACAGAAAGCACTGGGGAGGTTAAGCTGCAGGGCCCGGCTGCCTCCCCACCATGCTGCTCATTGTCTTTGTACTCTTCAGTAATTCCTCTAGAGTTTTGTGCCTCCATTCTCTCTCTGTAAAATGGGAAGACTGATAGTATGCACTACTAGGGTTTTGTGACACTTAAATAAATATAACACACTTAAAACAGCGTCCCATATAAAGTACCTATCCTACAAGTACAGTCATGGTGGTGATTATATAGTGGCAGCACATTTTGGTCTTTTTCTTTTTATCTTTGAGGGGCTTGAAGTGACAGCACATTATGAAGGCCCCCATCCCATAAAACACAATGCCTTCTCTGCGGGAAGGTGGAGGGCAATGAGGCTCCCCAATGTACCTGGCTTTCTGCAGCAATAGGAAGATGCTTTATGCCCAACTCAGTCTCCTGAGAACCTACAGGAGATGCCTCTCACAGAGGAAACCTCCCTGGGTTAAAGTCTAAGACTCAGAAGTCTCAGGGAAGAGAAATAGGAAGGTAAAAGAAAGAAAGGAATGAGGAGGTGGACGTCTACGCACACCAGAGCTAGCAGCGGTGCAGTCCTGGGTGCTATGGCCAGGTATGGCTGCAGTGTTTCCCTAAGGGTTCTCGTGCTGCAAGTGAGGTCCTCAAGGTGGAAGCAGTGAGAAATGGAGCCCAACACAAGGTAATTGGGACATTTGGGGTATTTTCCTCTGAAGAGATTAAGGTAGCTCTGGAGGGGCCTTGGTTAGTTCTCCAGGGAGAGTTGTTATTAAGAGGGATCGTGGTTCCTCCCGAGTCCCTAGATTCCTGTCTCACCATGTGGTCACTCCCTTTTGCATGTATTCCCTCTGTGATGCCATCTACCAAGATGTGATGGAGGCAGGGTGTCTCCACCACCCTTGGACTTCCAGCTTCCAAAACCTTGAGCTGTAAACCTCTTTTCTGTATCAGCCTCATGCATTTGTTAGAGTAGCAGAAGATGGACTGGCTTACTTGCTAGGGAGCCTAGGTCGAGTGACGGAGTTGGTAAGATGCAAACGTGTGCCCAGGCCATGGATCTGTGAAGAGTATGAATGAAATAACACAGTGAGGGCATTCGGCACAGTGCCAGCCTCCAGGAGGGTGCTCAGCAGACGGAGGCTGAATCAGAGTCAGAGGAAAGGAGAATGGAGCCTGTGACGAGCCCTAGAGCAAGCCCAAGGGGGAGAGATTGTTGCTGCTGTTGGTGGTGGTGGTCGTGTGTGTGTGTGTGTGTAAGGGTGTGTTACAGTGCAGGCAAGGAAGAGAAAGAGGACAATGCTGAGGACTGAACTCCTGGCCTTGAGCATGCCAGGAGTGCTCCACCCCCAGGCCTGCTTTCTGCCTGTTGCAATTTTGGTTTGGGAAGCCTTTACCTAGTGACCTGTATCTCTTTAACCTAAGTGCCATTCCATGGTTCAGGGCTGCATCCCCTGTCACCTGGACACCTACGGCAGCCTATTCACAGGTCTCCCCATCCCCAGCCAGCCTTACTTTCCTTCCCTTTTCTCTACATCATGACCAGAGTCACCCTTCTACAATAGAGAGTCACCGTGTCACTCCAGCAGCTCCCCCACCCCGCTGCCTCAGGATAAACGATAAATCTCTGAACAAGAATGTCTTCTGATCAACCTGTGATGCCACCATGCTCCCTTCTTCCCAGGCTCTGTGCCTCAAGACCCTGACCCTCACCCATGGGTCCACGGGCCATGTGTATCGAGGGACCCCAGCCAAGGAAGCCCAGCACCAGGGAGGAAGGAGAGGGCGGCCACCTTTGTCTCCCCAGTCCCAGGTGGTGGTGGTCACTTTTGTCAGGCTTTTGAGTGATCGGTAAGTAGGAAATGAATGGATCCTTCTGTGTAGGTAATCATTGCACAACACTGTACTTTCCCATTTAGTGATTACAGCAGCTTTGGGAGGGAGCGAGCCAGGGTAGAAATTCTATCCACATCTTCACGGATGAGGACCTGGGGCTTGGAGGGACTTACCCAGAGACCCACAGCTAACAACACAGAGCTGAGGACAAGTGACACCTAGGTCCTGAGAGCCCTGGCTGGGCACCCTCCCCTGGAGATGGGCAGCCTGTCCCTCCACTGTCCCTGTGATTCTGTGCTGGCCCTTTTTCTTTCTCTTTCTCTGGGACCTGGTGGAGGCTGCAGGGTGTAGAATCCACAAGCTCCAGTAGCTGCAGCTTTGGTCACTTTCCCTGAAAATCTCTGAGTCACCTTTGGGATTTTCCAGGCCATGAGCTTCTGGAGGGTTAAAAAAAAAATCCAATGTGTTGCAAGTTCTGAATCCAATGGTCCACACAAGTTCCATGGGGCCACTGGAGGGACATCTCCCGGAGGTGCTACTCAGGAGGGAAATGAGGCTGTCATGCTTCAATAAATAGGGTTGTCATAACTTATGGAAGCTTTGTAATGGTGGGCGGCATTTACCCACACTTCCAGGTGTGCGCAGATGACACGCAATGGGCCTCGTTTTGATGAAGTGCGTCTGTTCCCGGTGTTAGTGGCGGTGGTAGTGTGCACATGTAGGGGTGTGTTACAGTGAAGGCATCTTGTGGAGAGTCTCATTCAGCGGCCAAACCCCAGAACCCAGCTCATACCCTGATACCCCAAGGAGCCCCATGCCTGGTTGTGGAGGTAGCGTCTTGAAGGAGCTAGTGTGTTCTTTGTTCTCTACAGGGTTCCATTCTACAGAAAGGGGAAGCAAGGCTGCCAGAGGCTGGATGCCTTGAACAAGGGGGTGTGGATCCACTTCCTGCAGGAAGCTGCCCAGTTTAAAGGTCTGGAGCCATCTAATCTGCCTGCTAGCAGCCACCTGATGTCCTGTAAGTCACCCATCCTCTCTGAGCCTCAGGGGGTGGTATTGGTGAACCCCAGCCAGTAGAGTAAGAGTAAATATTTTATCCAGGTGTAAGAATTAACATAATAAAGGCAAAGGGACTGGCCCACTGGCACCAAGAGAAAGCTGCTTTCACTCTTATTATTCTACATCTCTTTTTCTTACTATTATGTACAAAAGCATGCCAGGGAGTTTCATTGCTGAAGAGATCCCTGACAAATCCCTTTCTTCCTTCCTGGGAGTTGCTAAGTGGTGGCCCCAGGGTGAATTTCTGCAAGGGGTTCATGAAACCCTAACTTGAGAAAGGATGCAGAAAGTAGGGGTGGCCTGGGAGGAGGGCGGACCCCATTGCAGGCACAGGGGAAGCGTCACCATGCCTCTAGGGAAGCCTAGTGTCTCATCACGCTGGTCTCCAGGTGCCGCACTGTCACCATCACCGCTGTGCTCAGAGAGGGGCTGTGAAGGTGGTCATGGACGGGCTTCTCCCTCCCAACTTTCCTTAGTGAATGGTGGCCGCTCTTTTAGTATCTGTGAGCCAAGTTCCTTCTACGAGTCCACTCCAGGGCCAGCAACTTGACATCTGTTTACGATCCGTCTGGAGGCAAGGTGTGGCTCCGACATGGAGGCAGGGTTGTGGGACCCCTGTTGGGTCACGTCTGTCAGCTTGGGAGACACTTGAGATACAGAGAGGAAACTGGAAGCACAGGGAGGCAATTGATTTGCCCCAAATCACACACTGCCTATTGGCAGAGTTAGCAAAAGACCCAGACCTTGGGATTTAGTGTCAAAGGGGCAGTGTGAAGTGGGAGGTACAAACCAGATCGTTCTGCTGTTTGTTACCCGGGTGATGTTGGCACACACTGCAATACTCAGGGCCTTAGTTTTGTTACCTGTGAAATGGGCATAAGGACACCTTCCTCAGAGGAGCAGTAGGAGGAATAAAGAATACACCACGGGAGAGGAAGGATCCCAGCAAAGTGCTGGGTAGAAACAAAGTCTTCCCATCTGCCTCATCCTTTGGAATCGGCTTGCCTGGGTTCAAATTCCGGGTGAACTTGGGAGAAGCATTCATTTTTCAGTGTCTTCGTTTTCTCCTTTTTACAATGGTGACAAGAATGACCACACTGAAGGTCTCAGAGGAGCTCAGAGAGTGACCCAGGACACTCTCCTGGACAATGCTGCCCTCCCCTGGATCCCCCAGTGGCCCAGGACCGTGGGGGACCTGAGTCTGCATGTTCCGCTTCCCCCTCTGGGATTCCAGCAAGTAGCCGCTCATGGTTCAGTCCTTGAGCTGAGGGCTCTGGAGACAGGGGCCACCGGGAGGCCACGGTAGCAGATTCCCAAGGGAGCTGGAGGCCCAGCCGCACAGGCCACCCTTGGGGCAGCCCTTGGACCTCCTTCCTGGTCAGGAGTCAGCTGACGTTATTCTGAGAGACTCGGGTTGCAAACCACTTCGTGTTTAGTCAGCAGTCACGCTCCCTTCCAAAAGCACTTCCAGGAAAAACATCAGTTTAGTTTCTGACAAGAAACAAAGCTTTCTGGAATCTCATGCCCTCAGCCCATGGCTCGAGGGACAGGCAGTGACTCCTGACTGAGGACACTGTGGTGAAATGACCTCCAAGTGTCCAATGTTCGCTGCCTGAGGAGCAGTGGCAAGTCATTCCGGAACTGGGGCAGGTGGTGGGGTGTGGGTCAGACAGGCCTGCCTGTCCCCAGCAGTGTGGGCTGCAGGCAAGTAGTGTAATCCCTCAGAGCCTCAGCCTCTGTGCTGTGGACCAGGAAGTCCACAGTGGATCTGGCTGAGGCCAATGAAATCGCCATTTTTGAAGGTCAAAAATTTGTGAAGGTCGTGCTGGGGATTTAACTCAGTGGTTTGGCCGCCTGCTATGCAAGCGCAAGGACCGGAGTTCAATCCCCGGTACCAAAAAAAAATCTGTGAAGGTCAAAAATAGTAGAGCTTGGGGATTTCATATGCTTCTTTATACTGTGTCAGGTACTTGGTATATTCGAATGGTACTCAACTGTGCTATGCATTTACACAGTGAGCTCTGAAATTTAATAAGCATAGAAAGGGGATGGGGCAGTGAGAATTGTGTGAAAAAGATTGGATTTAGATCAAACAAAGAGCCTAGAATTCTGCATTTTTATTGTGTTGTTGTCATGGTCATTCCATTTTTTTTTTTCTGGCCCTACTGAGGATTGAAGCCAGGGCCCTGTACATGCTACCAGTAGTAAGGTGCTCTTTCGCCATGCCACACCCCCAGCCCTTTTTATATTTTATTTTGAGACAGGGTCTTGCTAAGTTTCTTGGGCTGACCTCCAAATTGTGATCCTCCTGCCTCAGTATCCCTAATAGACTAGATTACAGAGGTGTCCACTCTGCCTGCTACTCCAGGTGTTTTGGTGATATTTAGTGCTCAGTTGAACCAGCTTCAATCCAAGAGATGCCTTGGGGTGAGGCAGTGGATAGAATGGAACATGCAAATCCCTTCCCAATTTTTCTTTTCTTGTCTAGATGATAGCAGGATTGGTTTGATTGATTGATTGATTGTGTGAGTGTGTGAGTGAGTGTGTGTGTGTGTGTGTGGGGGGTCACATCCCTTCTGCAACCTTCCTAGTATCCGAAGCCTCTCTGTTGCTTTTCCTGTCTTGGGCCATTCTGCTGGAGGCATCAACTGGCTTGTGTTGTACCCGAAGTAGCTGCCTCCACTACTCTAATACTTGGGATACAGTTTCAGCTATTTCAAAATGTCTTATGATTTTGGAGCAGGAGGAATTAGCAGTAGAGAAATGTGAACGTCAGATTAGGCAGCATGTCGTGTGCTCTTTGGTCCCACCTCTGCACGTGTCAGGTGAGGAAGACACCACTTGGGAAGGGCAGGCATCCCCAGCACCACACAATATGGGTTGGCCAGAGGTGGAACTTGAACTCAAGTCCTTGTGGTCAAAACGTTTGCTGTCCTGGATGCTCATAACTGCTGTTCTAACTTAGCAAACCCTGGCCAGCTGGTCCGAGTTTCATCAGTGGGAACCCAGCTTTTCCCCACTGGCTCCCTCCCTCCCACTACAGGTCATAAGCACACACACTGCTCCCATGAGTGTGAGTAGGAGTAGGAGCCCTCCTCATACTTTGCTCACTCCATAAATCTCAAACAGCTACACTGAGGACACAGCGATAGGTGCAAAGACAGATTCTTATCCTGATAAAGCATCGATGTCCCAGTATGCGTAATGCTAAGGGCTCTGAGGCAAACATTTTTGGGGAATGCATAACAGGGAGACCAGCTCTAGTTGAAGCTAGGCAGAAGTTTCCTGCTCCTTACTTTAGGATCATGTTAGTCCCGTTTTTCATTACCACAGTGGAATACCTGAGGCAGGCTAACTTTATACAGAAGAGAGGTTTACTTACCTCACAGTTCTGGAGGTTCAGGGTCCAAGTTTGGATGGCCAGATGCCATGGCTTTGGCCCCTGGGGAGGGCCTACCAGCAGATGATGTCACCACCGTGTGTGGGAGGGAGAGGTCACATTGCCAGCTTGAGCTAAAGAGAGACTGGGGTCCCATAGACTCTCTGAGGAGGTGTCCCTAGGGACCTCCCACGACACCCCACCTTAGAAAGGTCCACACTGTTTCTTAACATTGTCACAGTGAGGACCAAGCCAGCAGCATGCAGGGTAGTGGACTCAACCGTATCTGAGCCGTAGCACATGGGCACCTGTAATGACTCCAGACTCAGAAAAGTTGGCAAATTTTCATGGAATCCATAGTAGTTCTAGGCATCATGCTCTCCTCTATAGCTCAGCTATAAAGCTAAAGAAAGGGTGATGAGGGCAGAAATCATACCAACACTCAAGCTGAGTTCATGTGGTGAGGTGGGCAAAATTGCCTTGTACCTCACAGTGTGTGGCAGAGTCCCATACTTCCGGTGGGGAGATGTTCTTAGGTTCCCCCACTGACACACTAGAAGTGAGTGCAGAGACCCTGCCAGTCTGCTTGGCCTGGAGCTCTGTCCTCCCTCTGTCAAGTGGAGACAAAAAGCTTCCCTCAGAGAGGTTGTTGTGAGAATTCACTGCTATAACCTGCAGAAGTGCCCTGTGCCATGTTTTCTTGTGAAGTGCCTGAGTAACAGTCATTCCTTCTAGAAAATTTGCTTGGACGTTCACAGCATGGACCAGGCTTGAGCCAGAGTACGTGACTCATTTCTGAAGCCCAGGCTCCGATTTCAACAAGAGCTCTTCTCAGGATAAATTGTGGAAAATTCTGGAAGTCCTTTGAAAGTCATGTGACATAGTTGTTTTTAGGTGACAGGTGACCAGGGAGCACATGGTGGTTGGGGAGGGAATGAAAACTAGAGGCCATTTTATTCTAATTATTCTGTGAATTCAGTTTTAGAGGAAAACTCAACTCCTAACTCTGGGCAGACAGTGGTTGGGAAGATGGCATCATGTTTACCTCCCTGACAAAAGCACGGGTTTGAGTTGGTTCTGATTTCATTTGTGGGCTTCTCAACAGCTCCACTGTACCTTCCTCAGTCTGCTTCTGCAGTGTTGGCTGGAAATGATTTTTTTCCACCCTTTGAAGAGGGCAGTGGGTTCAGGCGCTGAGTGCAGGTCGCTGCCACGCAGAGTTAGGAGGCCATCCCAATGATATCAGAAATAGTCATAGATGCTTGTCATGCTAGCTAACCTCCAGTTATTACCTCTCATCCCCTCAGCCTTCCTGAAAAATGCATGTTATTATTTGTATTTTACAGGCAGGGTGAGCTCTGAGCTCTTACATCACTAAACGACATGCTAAGGAAATACAGCTTACTAAGTGAGTGTAGAGCCTGAACCCGGTGCATTCTGAGTGTGAAACTTCTTCCTTCCTTCTCAGCCATCCTTTGCAGATCCTCTCCTAGGCAGATGAGGATACGGAGGCTCAGAAAAACAGAGAGAATTGGCCAAGATCATGCAGCAGTATAACAGCTAAATGATATCACTGGAAC